AAAAAAAAAAAAAAAAAAAAAAAAAAAAAAAAAGAATACAAAATATTAACTTTGAAATCATATAGCAATTTGAAATAAAGGATAAATTAATATCTATTAGCTAGTAGGATAGAGTGCTAATTATAGAAAACTAACGTATCTCTCAGGTAGAAGATTATCTGAGCACCAGATAATTTTTAAAGTCCTAATATTTCTGCTTTCTACCTTTTGCTTATCCTTGTATACAACTTATAAATATATTTTTTTAATTCTTTGCTTTTTAGCATCTGATTTTACTTCTAAGCAGTCTCCTCTGCTTTGCTAAAGCAGCAGCTCACTCTCTATCTATATAGGACCTTCTGCCAAAAACTTCTGTTCTAAGAAAAAATGGTTAAAGGAACAATTAATTTTTTTTTAATTTTTATTTATTTATTTATTTGTTTTGGCTGTGTTGGGTCTTCATTTCTGTGCCAGGGCTTTCTCTAGTTGCGTCAAGCGGGGACCACTCTTCATCGCGGTGCACAGGCCTCTCACTATCGGGGGTCTCTCTTGCGGAGCACAAGCTCCAGACGCGCATACTCAGTAGTTGTGGCTCATGGGCCTAGTTGCTCCACGGCATGTGGGATCTTCCCAGACCAGGGCTCGAACCCCTGTCCTCTGCATTGGCAGGCAGATTCTCAACCACTGCACCACCAGGGAGGCCCAGGAACAATTAATTTTTTGCCAGTGAGTGACCAGTTACTCACTTATTCCTGTATGCTGATCCAGGTGCCTCCAACCTCCCTTCCTCTGAAAATGCCACTGGCTTACATCTCCTCAGGGTACAAGAATGTAACTCAATTCAGTATAATTTTAAGATAGTTTTAAACTTAGAAGCTATAAGAGAAGCACACAGAGCTCCCTTTACCCAAACTCACCAATTGTTAATATTGCCACGGCTGCTGTGTCATTCTTCCCGCCTCCCTCTCTCCCCTCTTCTATATATATACACATACACATACACTCCCCCACACACATATATTATTTTCTCTTGACCATCTGAAGGTAAGTTACAGACATGCCCCTTCAGCCCTAAACACTTCCGTGTATAATTCGTAAAAACAATGATGCTCACCCACACAACCATGGGAATAACTGGCCCTTCTCAGAGGATCCAAAATGCCAAGTGAAACCTGAAACTTGAAAGGAAACTGTACATGGAAATACTTCAAACGTCTGGACATCTTGTGCCTTTGTCTCAGAAAATTTTCTTCTAAATTTAATATTTATTTGTATCAAATGATTTCAGATAAGAAGACTAAATTACCAAGGAAAGTAGCAAATGAGTGACACCTGTCTAACAGATTTTGGAGTAACAGCCAATGTGACTAACACATAAAAGAAAATAATTTCTCTGGGATAGGAGATATGGGGAAACTTCCAAACAAAAAGACCTGGGAAATACCAGTAGAGATGACTAACATACGCTATCATCTTTTTGTAGGTATTTATAAGCAAAGCAGAATCTCAGCAGTTTCAGAAGGCACAGTTATAAGCCCAGCTGGATGAAAGAACAGAGCCAGCATATATGAAGTGCCCACATTAGGCCACAGGTACATTGTATGCTATTTCATTTAACTTTCACAGTAATTTTGAAAAAGGTGCTATTATCACTCCAGTTTTACAGATGAAAAACTTAAGGCTCAAGAGTTAAATGAGCTGTCCAAGACACAATAATAATCAGTGATGAATCTGGGATGCAAAAGTAGGTCTTCCAAATCCCAAGTCCATGTTTTCTTCCTCTCCCACACTGGTCAAAACAGTCTCGTCAAGTTTCTCCTAGACTTATGAATCTATGAGTCATACATTAACAACTGTGCTCCTGGTAACAGAAACATTTCCCAATGTATTAATTTCCTCCATTCTAATTATTACCCAATAAAAGGTCACCACTTGGTGCTTATGCCAGTGTAAGTTTACTTATTCATTATATTTATAAAAACTCCAGACTGTCTTTTCTGAGAGGAAAAATAAGATGTTTAGCCTCATATTTTAATTTTAAGTAAAACATTTTTATACAAAAATCAGCTCTTCCTAAAAGACAACCAACAAATATGAAATTCAACAATATATGATACACAGCAGAAGAATCCATGGGACTAACCTGAATGTAGAACATGATAATAAAAACAGAAACAAACCAGTAAATTAATTACAGAGCTAAGTTTCCAGCTAGGGATTCTGGTGGCTCTGACAGTAATGCTCAAATAACCTACAGGGCCATTGGAAACCCAAAGATGTAATTACAGCTCTGTACAAAAATAAATAAGTAAATTAATTAATTAAACAAAACCTTTCAACTTGTAGCTGCAATCCAATACGGCAATGCCTCACTATTCCAAAATCCCTTATTTAGAAACCTCAGCTATCCAGACCACAGTGGAGATTTAAGAAGCAGAGAAAACCAGCCCCTTGACCAATCAAAAGAGATGTCATAAAGTAGAAGCATGAGAGCCTGAATTTCTGAGTTTCTGTTGTTGTTGTTACTTAAGCTCATTTTGAATTTCTACACTTACAAAAAGTTCCAAAAACAGTACAAAGAACTCCCGTGTACCCTTCACCCAGCCTCTCAAAATGATAACATCTTATTAAAACCACAGTTACAATTATCAAAACCAGGAAATTAACCATCAACACAAGATTTATGAAATAATCTAGAGCCAACCTTACACAAATTTTTTCCCAACTGCCCCCCTGATGTCCTTTTTCAGGTCCAGGATCACACACTGCAGTTGTCACGCCTCCTCCAACTGGGGACGGTTTGTCTCTCATGACCCTGACACCTGGAGAGTCCTGGGCAGTTATTCTGTAAAATGTCCCTCAATCTGGGTTTGTCTAATGCTTCCCCATGACTAAATTCACGTTACGCATTTTGACAGGCACCACCAGAAGGCACGTCACTATGGAGAACAGTATGGAGGTTCCTTAAAAAACTAAAAATGAGAGTTACCATATGATTCAGCAATCCCACTCCTGGGCATATATCCAGAAAAGACAGAAACTCTAATTTGAAAGATACACGCACACCAATGTTCACAGCAGCACTATTTTAAATAGCCAAGATATGGAAGCAACCTAAATGTCCATCGACAGATGAATGGATAAAGAAGACGTGGTACATACATACAATGGAATATTACTCAGCCATAAAAAAGAATGAAATAATGCCATTTGCAGCAACATGGATGGACCGAGAGATTATCATACCAAGTGAACTCAGAAAGACAAATATCATATATCACTTACATGTGGAATCTTAAAGCATGACACAAATGAACGTATCTACAAAATAGACTCACAGACACAGAAAACAAACTATGGTTACCAAAAGGGAAGGGAGGGGAGGGATAAATTGGGAATTTGGGATTAACGGCTATACACTACTATGTACAAAAATAAATAAACAACAAGGTCCTACTGTATAGCACACAGAACTATACTCAGTATCTTGTAACAGCCTATAATGGAAAAGAATCACTGTGCTGTACACCTGAAATACTGTAAATCAACTATACTTCAATAAAAAACAAAATACCAGAAGGTACATGATGTTGTCCAAATCTCACTGCTGATGATGGTAACTCTGGTCACTGGTTACAGTTGTATATACCAGGTCTCTCCAGTGTAACATTACTAGTTTTCCCTCTGTACCCTTCTTGCGGTGGGGGCGGTGATATTTTAAGACCATGTAAGCACCCTTTCTCATCATACTTTCACCCATGAATTTTAGCATCCATTGATGAGTCTTGCCCACAAAAATTACTGTTCCCCAAATTGTGATTGTCTAGTTACTGAGATGTTAACAGCCCAGGTGGATCAAGATGGGTAGATGTGCTTTTTAGGAAGATGATATTTCAGAAGACAACAAATGATTTGATTACATATTTTGTAGTTTTATTTTATTTTATTTTAGGCCGTGCCATGTGGCTTGCAGACCAGGGATCGAAACCGGGCCCCCTGTGGTGGAAGCGTGGTCACTAATCACTGGACCACCAGGGAATTCCCTGATTACATATTTTGGGTAGAACTGTTTCTGTGAATAAGCTAGTCACCTCCTCCTTTTTACTCACCTGGTTTAGGGGCTTGTGCTCACTTTTCTTTTCAATAATAAATTACCCTATAAAATTAAGTCAAATTATAGTCCTAATCTTTAGAATGTCACAATATGAAGAAGAAATTTAGTGATTATTTTATATAAGTTAATGATCTTTGGGAATTTTTATCAATACTTCTGACCATGACAAAAATAAAATTGATATTGAGTCCAAAAATAAACCACAAAGTACTGTATATGTGTAAAACAAAACTATATCAGAACTATGAGTTATAAATCAATTACTGCTGTCA